TTGAAATACCCAAACAATTGAGGTTGGACAGTGCCCAGTTCAAACTGATTAAATGACGGATCAAGATCAGAAAATAAATATTATAGAAGCAAAAAGGATTCTGATATGGGCTACAAATCAACTTACAAGGTATATATGGAAATTTCCGGGGTAAAATGGGGCGCACAATGCCCTTTTGAATTCTCCAATCCATTGGATTTAAGCTTGTTGCTTCCAGTTTTAGCAAAACCTCATCTTTACTAGGAGCAGGAACAGGAACTTTAACATGCTGCAAGAGACATAAGAAACCAAATCGGACTTAATGATGATCCTTGATATAAACTTATGTTCCGTTTGAAAACACCATATCGATACCTTACATTTGAAATTTTAAAAAATATTAGTTCAAAATTTAAACTGAATTGAAACGCGAATTCCATCATACATAGTCTTTATCATGTCAATAAATATATTTGTGACCAGAAAATTATATCTCTATGGACCTTAAAAATAAGCCCTTTTTTCGAATCAACAAAAGACAGTATATATATATATGTATATATCTTCTCACTAATCTCCTGATCAACTAAAAAAACAGTTCCATTTTTTACTTTCCAACCATAAAACCAGATTGACTTTTGACTCTGCAGTTCCACATCTTAATTATTGTTTAATCACTCACTAGGGAATCTATATACATATTAATTTGTGACAATCATAAAGTGAATTTACATTGAGATATAATTTGAAATAATTCATTCTAGTCAAATAGTGAATTTACTATGTAAAAATTAGGTAAAAATCAGGGAAAAATAAAAAAATTCAGGACCATATGAAATTACCTTTAAACCAGCAGCACCTCCACCGTAACCCTCGAACCAAACCGCATTCATAAGCTTCTGCCCGGCCATTTTGAGAGAGTGTGTGTGTGTGTGTGTGTAGAGAGACAAAGAGTGAAACAAGTGATGAAATACCAACCAAAGGACCCAATTGCAAATTCAGAAGTTTGATTTTGAGATGTGGCGTTATATAGGCGCCATAAATTAGTATCATGGTCCATTGCTATGTAAATTGACGTAAATACCCGTATACTAATCAAATGAAATTGAGTATGTTCAAACACGCATACACTGTGAATTGACGGAAATACCCCCTATGCTACAATGAAAACGAGAATTTTCAAACACGCGAACTGATCAAATGAAAACCAGAATTTTCAAACACTCATGCTAGTCAACTGAAATTGAATGCTAGCCAAATTTTAAAGATACTCATGCTATTCAAATGTCGGCTCATACTCATGCTATTCAAATGTCGGCTCATACTCATGCTAGCCAAATTTTAAAGATACTCATGCTATTCAAATGTCAACTCATACTCTGGGTCCTTCTACTATTCAAATATCTATAAAAGGGAAATTGAATGCACGGAAAAAAGTTGTGTTGACATGTTTGAATGATGGTGGTTTATTTAAATTATTTTAAAGTGATCAGAAATATATGAAATAATTACTTCATGAAAAAAAATTATATCATACTTTAGTTTAAAAACTTTATATAGCATTATCTTGATTATCGTTGGTGTGTTTTTATTTTTTATTTTTTTTTCATTTTCAGTTAAATGAGTGTATGAGAGCAACTCTAGAGTTCAAATATTATGTGTTTTTTGCTTATAAATGGCTACCTAGTTACTCCATTGTGGGTTGTCATTTGTGGAGCAAGATTTTTAGATTGAGGGATGGATAGCCATTTTTGGCGATCCATATAGCGATTGTGGGCCGTGCATTTTTGTTTTTTTGTTAACTTTTGTGGCCATTTAAAGGCGTGTTTGGCTGGAAGAAAATTTTCAAAAACCAATTTTTTTGTGTTTTTTTTTTTCCCCTTTCTTAACAAAACTGAACCAAAGAGTCGTTAAGGCCCTGTCTATAGGATTTTTTTGGGCAAATATATATATTTTTTTATGGAGAAAAGTGTATATTTAAAATATTAAAAAAAATCAGTGTTCCTACCGGCATTATAGCCGTTTTAGGCACTATTTGTCTGACCCAAACATGGCCTTAACGGCTATATTAGTCCAAAAAAATATTTTTTTATTTTTTCCTAACAATGAAAAAATATGTACCATTTAAGTATATGCAATAATTAAAATTTGAAGACTCCAAAATGTTGATGTTACTCTTGAATAATACTTTGACGTGACAAATTTGAAGACCAAATTTTAAAGATACTATTGGAGTTGCTCTAGAACAAAAACTTGTACATAGCATTCCACAAAAAGAGGCCCAGGCCGAAGGGTGTTGAAAAGAAATTTTGAAAGCACAACCAGTTGAAACAATGGCCCAAAACCTAAACAAACAATTTTAAAACCAAACCAAACCAGGCCCAATTATGTCTGCTCATGTTTCAAGTTTTTTGGTCCATAGTTAATTCAACCATTTTATGTTTATCCTACCAGATTTTGTGGACAAATCATATTCATAGGGTTGCACATGGATCAGGCTTAGCCTAAGCCCAGAACCTAGCCCAAATTTAAAGAATTTGAACCTTCCTTTCCTTTCCCTTCCCTTCCCTTCCAAGTTACAATTTCGAACCAAGTCAGCGAAGGACTCTTTCCCCTCCAACAAGTCCTGTAAAAGTCACAAAATCTTATTTTCTTTGCTTTTGTTTCTTTGATATTCACATTTCATTGGAGTCCCACTTTTGGATTCGGATGATAAGTGAAATGGATAAATATTATCAAATAGTTTAAGTTTTTTAGTTAGAGGACAAACATCAAATTTGTAATCACTAGTATTAGAGTCGTTAGAATCTGGTGTCATGCCAAGTTGCTCGGTCTAGAGGTGTCTGGATCTACCACCCTAGATAGGCATGGCCCAATTGCAACGAGAAAATGATAAATTCAAAAGATAATGAAGTTGATCGAATTTCCTGTCTCAATTAAGAGATCAATTCCTTTTCGAAATACCTGCACGACCCCTTCAATTTTTCCCGCTTTCATGTCTACAACTCAATTCATTCAATTATACTATAGGAATTAATCCAATCTCCCATATTTAATTATTCCCGAACTTTTCCCCATAAACATAGGGCATGCATGTATTATTGTATAGCCAAAAAAAAAAATTATCTAATTTCTCTAACAAGTTCTCTTTGACTCTCTGTTTTTGCCATCTCACATGTACAAAGTTCCTAAGTTGCTATTTCAGAGGGCTTGTAATTTTGTGTTTGTGCTAAAAATTGATTAATTAAAACGTAAAATCTTTGGACTATTGATGTTTTTTTCATCTAGTTGATACAAATATATTTTACAACAAAGAACACTAAGATAAAAACTATATACATCAAGCATTTTCAGTAACATAACCCATAGCATCCTTGTAATTGTTCCACAAATCCATCACCATAGTCCAAACCATCTCTACAAAACCCTCCAAAATCTGGGGAAAATATTCCTTAAACAACTCATCAATGGAGGTCCTGGTCTGCTCCACCAGTCCTCCTATTGCCGACCCTGTCGCGGCTGCAGTCCCGGAAATGTTCTCCAAGAGAAAATCAAAAAGGCTAGAGACGAGGGAACTCACGACCTCCATCACAAGCTCCAGCAAGTACTCGAAGCACCCCTTGACGAAATCCGCAACGTGTTCTAGTCCGCCGTGGATGGCTTGGCCGGGGACTTTGAACGCCTGGATCACCAACACCAGAAGGTAGGCCGTCGCGGTGAAGACTAGGCGCGAAATGAGGTTTGATAACGTGCTCACGGCAAAGAAAATCATCTTCACGATCACAACAGCCATTTTTTTTTTTTCTTTGAAGAGACTTGTTATTTTGTTAGGGCACTTTGAAAAAATATGCAAGTTTTTGAAGATGATGGTGTTGTTTGACGATTAGTTTATGTGGTTTGATAGTTGAAACTCACTGAGATGATGTGTTTGCGTGTAGTATTATATGGAGTTGTTGATGTTTGCACATTTTAGGAAGTCAAAGTCATCAAGAATAACATTACAAATGTAATATTTTAAGTGATTGCAAGCATGGTACACTACATAATAAAAATTAAATAAATTAGGAGGCCTAAACAAAATTAATTAGCAAGTCTACGTTGAGGTCATATTTTAATGCTATTTACATGGAGTTTGAAAATGAATTTTATGTTTGGTTTTGCATGGATCATGATGTGTGTTTATTAGTTAAATGTTTGTGGTCCAATAATATCATTGCAGGATTGTGATTTTATAGTAGGTAATTAAGGACGGCAAAATAAAGAATGTTGGAGATCATTGACTTAAAATTATGTATATCCTTGCTACATTTTCAGTTTTTCGATCTAAGTAATCTGAGAGTTCAAATCTTTTTAGGGCTACTTTTTGAGAGAGTTCAAATCTTTTTAGGGCTATTTTTTGATCGATAATTGTTCAGTGCATGTAAGACAGGGAGACTGTATTTAATCGATGATGGATTAAAGGGTGTTTTAAGAGACTTGACACCACCGTGATTTTAAAAAAAAAAAAAAAAAAAAAACAAACAAACAAACAAACCCTTTATCAAATGAAACCTGACCTGACCTACCTTCCAACAACCCCTTCTCAAATGAGACCTGACCTACCTTCTCAAATGAGACCTGACCTTCCTTCCAGCAACGTAATATAAATGTCATCATTTGAAATTATCAACCAATTATATTGTCAATTAAAAATAGGTCTATTTAGGTGAGTTTATTGTATTCTCACTCGAAACCTGGGATTGTGAGAACTCATTATTGATCTAATGAATGAGGAAACGAACCTCATCAAAGTCTTACTCTGTTCAATGTTCCAATGATCAAGAAAAGCAACAAAGATCTGGTACAGTAAAAACCACCCAGCCACCTGATGCAAGCCAGAGCATTGCTTCATCTCGTCGGACTGCACTTGCCACCACTACAACGATTGCGGTTTTCTCACTTCTATACAAATTACGAACCCATTCTTGTATAATGTAAGAGCAGAAAGGAGATCATGGCATCACACGAGTAACCAAAACTCGTTTAAAGGAGCCGACAAACACAGCAATTATTTAGAACTTGTTTACATTATTTCTACATTAAGTATATACTATACATCTTTAAATTCACAGAAAGCAAGCCGCCAGAGTCAAGCAGAAAACTTGTATGTACATCTCCTACCGTTTCAACTATTTAGTTCTCATTAAGTTTATATACAGAGCCCACATACTCTTCCGTGTCCCAAAGGAAGGAACCGAAAGCAACAGCCTCCAAAACCAGCCTTTTCAGGCTTGACAACGAGGTCAAGATCACCTCATCGGTCTCGAGCAAACCTGTCTTCTCATCCCCAAAGAGCGCGCAGCTATGCTTCTCGATCAGATGTACTGCCTCCTTCGACTTTGGTTTTGCACACATCTGCAGTATCTCAGGGTCGAACCCCATGACATAACACCTCAGTTTTTCACGTCTCTTTCCCCGGTTGAATGACTCTTGTCCTACTGATGTGGATCGCACACTACTAACGTGACCAAATGCAATTTTCTTTAACCCAGGGGAGCACAATTCTGAAAGTGGAAAGTGGGTATCATCATTGTTGATACCAAGGTCATAGTTGACCTCTGAGAGTTTTAGTTCTAGGTGGTGCCTCAAGGAGGCAGATTTCAGAAAGTAGCCATACAATATGGAAGCAACATACACTCGGCAAAGCTGGACCCGCTGGATCTCAGTTGTGGCCCAATTGTCTCTGACATTTGAGTTCTTCTTCCAGCCAAGGACAGTGGTTAGATGTTCCCTTATCATCTCCAAGACCTCAAAGCTGTGAATCGACTCGAGCGCCCAGTCCCTTGAAGGACATATCTCTAGTCTGCCATTATATATACATCTGCAGAGCCTCGGAACCAAACGAACACTGATCTCAGAGAACTTATAGAAGATTAACATGTAGATGACTTCTTCAACTGCACTTTGGCACTCACATTCTCTCAATTCAGCAATCCTCCTGGCATTCACAAGTAATATCTTTATATTAGTAAAACATATTATGAAACATACTGCTTCTTTCTTATATAAATAAACAGATCAAACAGTTCCAGTCTTAATCGTATCATGGTATTTCAGGCTTTTCAGCATTTATTGATTTATCCTTGTGTAGATTTTCATGTCAAAATGCCAACCAGGCAACAACGATGCCTCCAATTCAAGTGGTTGGCCTACTTTGGCCACCCCCACACCTACATAAGCAGGGGAAGAGGGGTGGAGGGAAGCAATGATGGAGTAACTGCTCAAGTGCTTTTCATCAAAAGTGCTTCCTCACCTGAAGAGGCAATGGCCCAAGTTTTGCCTAAAAGCATTCAGTACATTGAGTGCCATACATGGAGGTAATTTCCATGCACGGGTGTTAGCACACTAATTTGTGCACAACTGCAAACATACTTGCCTGGGCACACGGGGGAAAGAAGATAAATATTCCACAGAATAAAGTAGGGACTGTTGAAGAAAGACAACTCTTTTCCTGAATGAAAAAGTTCAATGGAGAGACTCTCCAGGGTGCTAATAATTAGGCTCAAATCTTCCTTAAGATTTTTATTAATATGGATTCAATCTTGAAAAATTTTATGATTAATTTTTCTAGATCTCGTTCATCCAGTGACAATAAAGAAACCTTAGGTGAGGACAACACTGAAAAAGATAGATAGGAGGGTGGATTATGATAACTGCTCACTAGAATCTAGATTATGTAATAAAAGATAATTGCAGGGCTAAAGTGGAAATTTTCTAGAGGCAATTGACAAGTGGCTCATTCAGACAAGGCAAAGGCTCAATCAGGTCAAGTTCATTCGAATTTAGAACGAATCACTAACTCAATCATACAAACTACCCACGTGGTAGAAAGAAAATGACAAGTTTATAACAATCATAGCAGAAAGTCCTTGGTGAATAACAAATTCAAAACAGGTGCTTTAATTATTCAGACACATTCTAATTACCAGGGAAAAAAGAAAAAAAAAAATTATTTCAACAAATATAAGAATAAATTAATCAAAATCAAAGATAATTCTTAGGCCAAATGCAAAATTCTCTTGGAGATACTTCACTGCATTAAATATTCTTATCTCTGGCAATTCCTGTTGGCCCTTCTCCTGGTAGTAGCTTCATCCCTCCAAGTTTTCATTTACTCTCATAGAGATGACTACTTGCAACACAAAGGCTACATGGGGATGGGTAGAACACCTCTATCATTCATGCCATTCCCATGGAGCTCCATGCTTCCTGATGAATTTGTCATTCATGTAATGACAAGTCAAGACCTGCAAGCTTTCACTCTTAAAGTCGGGCAATTTCAAGCAATATGCAGTTGAATGCGATGTATCTGTTCCTAATAATGGAGAAGCAACAGCTTAACTAAAAACTGTCCCCATTACCACAAATAAAGGAATAAATTATAGCAGTTTTAACAGCTTAATTAAAAACAGTCACCATTGCCACAAATAAAAGAATAAATCATAGCAGTTATAACTATCAGCAATCTGATTTATCATCACCTACTCCTCACCGGGTGGAAAAAAAAAAAAAAAACACTATCAACCATATGATCATATTTTTGTTCTAAAGCATCCTTCTAAAGCAGCTAACATTGGTAAACTATTTATGGAGAATATTTCCATGCTCCGTTACCAACCACCACTAGTATATTTCTCTTTCTATGTATGTGTGTATGTAGCAGACTTCATTGTTTTAGGGGTGCCCTCACACTAAAATGTGGCGCTTGGGAAATATTGTGAACTGAAATAAACGAGTCCAGAAAACCCTTTAACTGATAAATGTTAATACTACAACCACCAAAATAGAGTATCTTCTTCTTTCAAAATGCGAGAATTTTAATCCAAACAAGGTTGTATATTTATTCCATAAAACTAGAGAATTTTAATCCAAACAAGGTTGTATATTTATTCCATAGAACTAGAATGACGATACCAGTTGTAATTACACTAATGCATTTCCAAATGAGACCTTATAGTTTCAGAGACATAATTTTCTGACACAATTTGTTTTTGTAAATAATAATAATAATACTAATAATAACATTAACTAAATTTAAATGTTTAATGTTATGAGTTCTAAAATTTGTGCAATGAATATCAGACTCTTTCAATGTGTTCCTTGATAGAGAACCAATACAGATTATTAGGTGGTTTATACTTCATATACAATACATTGAATTTTTTGTGTTCTAAAAGTTTTAATTTTAAATTCAATCTTTTTAGGTCTTATTAAATATATTTGTCTCCCCCGCATTCCACTGGTCTTTTGCTAGTTGAGAGTGTGATTTAGTAACTTTTTCTCCCCAAAAAAGTTCTCTAAATTGCAGGGAACAGGTAGTAACTAGTGAGAGTACACCTTAACACCCTTACAATGGCTAGTAAAAGGTGTTAACAAGTGGAAAGAAACATATTCCCCTTGTTCAAACAATGGAAGCATCAATTCATTTGGGCTAAATGCTGATATGAAATGATTGGGCATCTACCAATTTAAATGATCACATATTATTAAAAATTTGTGATCAAAATGGGCATAATTTGAGTGCTCAAACACATATTCATGTTCTACAATAATTGTTGATCAATTCCCTCTACAATTGATCCTTATACACCAATAAAATGGCCCAAGAGAATCTCGATACAGCACAAGATTGCTCTAAGCATTAGGTTCAACTGATTTCTACAATTCATCCTGTCATAAATTACGAGGTAGTATAGCCATGAATTGAAGTAAAAGTAGACAAACTGAACCGCTCTAGCTTCCACTTATGAGGTGCTGCATAAGCTTGGTGAGGGGATTTCTAATCTTCAACCTTGAATAAAAAGCTTGTCCTTATGAGAGGAGATTATCAAGGAACTTTCACCTTTTTGATTTTTTTTGTCACCAATGAAATGATATTGCTTTCTGTGCATTGAGATATATGTGTTCTATCCTTCATGATAGATTTCTATATGAAAACTATAAATTGGAGATTGAAGAAGGGGAAGGAGAAGGAGCCTTTGAACCACAACAGAGAGGAGGATTTATTCAATCACATAAGAGAAAATTTAGTTTAAAGTTCGAATTAATTTTCCTCATCCATGCTCGCAAACATAGCTTACCAGAAATTTAATAGAAACCCATAAACAAAACCATCAAAACATGACTGTTTCAAGCATATCCAAAATTCAAAAGCAAGTCTTGAATGCACAAAAGAGCATGAACAATTTGATTATAACTATATACAAAAATATATATATGTGTGTGTGTGTGCGTGTGTGTTGACAAATTGAAGTAGAAAATACTCTGTGGGAGATCACAAACCTGTGAAGCCACGCTTCAGAAGAAGCCAGAGTCGAATTCATGCGAGCAACAGCATCGTCTCGCTCAGCAGCCAACTCCACCAACTGTTTCGCAACCGCGACCTGAAAGTAATCGCGATCATTCTGCAACACACTGCTCAGGAACTTCCCGACCGAGGTCTTCGGCTCGAGCGGAGTGTTCAAGCTACTGAACTCACAGTGACTCGCCTCCGCACTCGCCACCACAATCGACGCTCTCCGCCTCCTCCGATCAACGGTACTGATCGGCCGGACGAATCGCCGATCCCCGGCGAAGTTGAGCGTTGAACAGATAGTACCGCGAATTGAAACGCTCTTCTTCACCGTGGTAGGTAAAGCTTCAAGAACTGAAGATTGGTTGTAAGAGAGACGACAGTCCATTCACAGCTTGTAGAAGCCCTAGAATAGTGAGTGATATGTAACAGAGAAGAGAGAGAGGGTGATATATATATATATATATATATATATATATATACAGATAAAGATATATAGACAGAGAAACAAAATTTGGAGAGAGAAGAAAGGATAATTTACAGATAAAGAGGAATTGTTTGTGGTTTTCACTATCTATCTCGGCGCAAACGGTGGGCTAACAGAGCCCAATCGGGCCGTGACGTCTGTTAAGACTTGTAACGGAGTATTTGGAAATAAGGAGATAAGAGAAAATGAAAGATATTTTTCAATCATTGGGTCAAATTATCATGTACTAGTAGTAAGTAAGAAAGGTAAAAATAAAATAAAAAGGCATGATAGTACGTGGGAGAACACAAATATTGAAGTAACCATCTAACCATTTTAGAAATAATTTTATGAGAATTATATGGTCAAAATTTTATATCACTCGAATCAATCTAAAATTTCTATTCTCTTTTTTTTTTTCAGAATTGGAATGGGGAATAGGATCAATTTTATCTGTCCAAAATTGTGGGAATAACCACAAATATATAATTTTTAAATGACTATCTAATTTTTATAATTTTATATAAGAGGGTATATTGATAAAGAATATAAATACTTTTTGGGTTAATTTCATTGACATCCTTTCAGGTTTGGTCAAATATCACCTTAAAATATTTTTCGAAAATTACTATCATTTAGGTCCAATTTTACTTTTTTGTCATTAACACCGTTAAAAAGTATGCGAAAAGACAATTTTACCCTCATTTTTTAAATTCATTTTAAACCAAAATATTAACAAACTTTAAAAGACAAAACTGCCCATATTTTTCTCTCTAAAATATATGCATATACAGTAAGCTTGGTGCCCTTCAAACAAAGATGGCAAGCAGCAGCAAATCGGACGACAATGGCGACGAACAAACTACTCCGATTCCAACAAATAAACCCAAATCAACGTCGACACTGTTAGGGGCAGAGGGAGGGGTGGGCCAATAAGGGCCTGCCCCCCCCCCCCCCCCTACCCCCCCAAAAAAAAAAAAATTAGTATTCATATATATATATATATATATATATATATATATAGTACACTTGCCCCCCCACCCCCAAAACATTTTAGTACACTCCGCCCTTGCCTCTTGCCCTAACCTTCTGTTCTTCACCTTCTCCCGAATCTCCTCCACCTTCACACAAACTGACAAACTAATTGCATCACCGTCGACTAATAGTTGTTGTCCTCACTCCTCAAAATCCTTATTTTATCTTTTTCGTACCCATCTTCTGTGAGTTCTCTCTCTGACTCTGTAATTGACCAGGTACTTATGTGTGTTTGAATTTTTCTCAATGTTTATCACTTATAAATTATCAGAACTCTTATTTGTTTATATAATACCCCTAGTTTTCAAAAGGACAAAATGGGAATTTAACTTTGCATTTTGGTTTTTATTTTATTTTTTTATTTGATTATATGACTTAGGTGTTTAAATTGATTGTTTTATGTGGGAACTTTATTTTATGTGTGTTTGCTCAGTTGCTTGATTATTAGTTGTGTGTATTTAATTTAAATTGCTTAATTATTATTTATGTGTTTAATTTAATTATTGAATTGAAATTGTTTTAATTTAAATTATCTGATTAGTTTGTGGTTTTAACTGTAAATGTTTTATTTGTGAGTTAATTTAATTATTTGATTAATTTATGGTTTAAATGGATTATTTTGTTTTTGGTTTTATATAGAGTGTAAATTTAGGGTTTTCTTGTATGAGTTTTTAGCTGTCATATGTTAGGATTGGAAATAGGTTTAGGGTGTTATAGACGGCTATATATATGTGTGTTCTTTTACGTCTGTTAAAAAAAAAAAAAAAAAAAAAAAAACCCTATTCATGAAATAGTATTTTTAGAGGAAAATAGAGAGAGTTTCGAAATATAATCTGGGAGGCTAAAGGAGGAAGAACAGAGGGGTTGCTTCTGGATGGAACTGTAAGCAGAGCAGAGGGGAAACAGACTTGGAGAATCCTGAAACTTAAACTTAGAAACGACACTTAAGGTTTCACACCGAAATCTCAAGGCAAGTTTCAGTCTATCTCTTTCCTGTAAACTTGTGTTCTGTGCATTCTAAATAGACTCTAGGACGTTAATTAAACATTAAAAATGGATGTGTTATGCATAATTAAATCAAACTGTAATTCGTTGTTTGCCTTTGTTTAAACTGTAACTGGTTTGGTCTTAAAACTGTTCCGAGTGTGTTAAGTTTTTGTTAATCAATTCATAAGGGTTTTAAAGAGTTTCTAGGACTATTTGGATTTAAAGTAGACCCTAAGAAGTTTAAAAACAATTCGGACAGAGACTTGGAATTTTGCCGGTTTTAAATAACTGAAATCGGTTCACGCATAAATTATTTTGGTTATGTATTGAACTTCTGTAATTTAATTCCTAATGGAATGTGAGGAGTTTCTAGGACTATTTAGATTTAAATTAGACCCTAAGGATGTTAAAAGTGTTGGGACAGGGACTGGAAGCTTCGCCGAAAGCGCAGAATGAAACCGGACGAAATAGAGAAGACGCATAGAGTAGAGACGGCTCTCAAGGGGAGAGAGCCGGCTCCCTAAGTGAGGGAGCTGGCTCCCATTAAAGTAGAGCTGGCATGGATAGCCGGCTCTGGAAGATAAAGAGCCGGCTCCCTTGAACAGATACCCCTTCGGAGGTATTTTCAGTATTTATTTTGACCTTGGGGCCTTAAACAGAGTTTTTGGAAAATAAAGGGGGTTCTAAATACTTAAAAATTTACCTATTGGAACCTTTAAACAGTTGGTTTATGCTAGGGTTTAATTCTAAGGGGCATCATAAACATAAACATTATTAATGTGTGTGCTGTACGGAAAAAAGGAAGGGAGATGGAAAGGCTAGTTGTTTCCGCAAATTCAATGAACTGATATAACGAATATTGTTGGGATTTTATAGCAATGATATCTAGGATATATATGAGTCTCAAGAGGGTTGGTTAGGTTGTGGTTGTAGTTGACATGTAATTTTAAATATATATAGTTGCATGCTGTAAGGAGTGGAGGAAGTTCTAACTACTGGGTTGTTTTCACCAGTTAAATGGGCTAGTATATTGTACCATTTGGGGACTTATATGAGGTACAGTTTGACTTCTCTGTGTTATACTATATCAAGCACAGGTTTTAAGTTAGAGGATTAAAAGAATGTCATATGATGCAAACATAAATTTTTATGCCGTCAGGGGGTTAAGGAGGTTTACATTACTAGTCTTTGTTTTAATGATTTAAATAAACTAGTATGAGGGTATGGTTTGGGTTGAATGGTATTTTGTGCTCAGTTCATAAGTCTGATAATCATTATACCCTGCTATGGTTGTTAATTGATGAACTGATTTAGTTTCTGTTTTGTCAATTGGATAGATGTGGATAATTTAAATTGTTTAACAGTACTATAACAATTTAACAGGAGTTTTATGATTATAATCATATACTGGATGCATAATAGGATCTTAGTAATACCTGTTTTCTATTATACTGGTTCATGGATATACTTGATGTTCTAATGAATGTGCATCACTGGTGGATCATTTGCATTATATGTACCGGTATGGGATGGTGACATATCAGGGATGGATTAGATCAAAAAGCTAAGTCCTACCCCTTCATACATACGGAATGGATTAACTAAAACAGTTAAATCCTACATGGATGCATGTCCTGTCAACTAAAACAGTTGAACGACATAACGGATGTTTGTTTTATCTTTCTACATTAGGAAGGAATTTATATATATATTTATGGTACCATGATACGAGCTTGAGTCTCCTGATCACAGTTAGGGTGCGTATATTGCAAAGGTTGAGTAGTTAGATATAGCTAATCTTCCCTGGTAAGTCTAGGTACTTGGCCGCTGAAAAGCGTGTTTTATATGTCACCTTCTACTCAGGCTGAACTATGTTATAGGTTAGTGAGCATCCTATAGTGTGTGTGTATATATATATATAGACTATTGTAGATATTGCCGAGCTATCAATGATGTATCTGCGTATCGGGTTTATGTACGGATTGCAGTAGATTGGAACTTGCATGTGGGCCTGACCCACTTCTATTTTTCAAGTATTCACCAATACCAAGCTTAGAGTTTGATTATGTTGATGCAGATACAGACACTCACTCTTCCAGTTACATAGGATTTCCTTTCTATTTTGGTTTTGGATTTTAATTCTGTAAATTTATTTAAAGTTTTGGAATTAAGGGTCCACTAGGTGGATTCCCGAGTTATACAGATTTAAATTATATTAATTTATTATTTAAGATTTGAGAATTTTTATTTTAGTTTTCTTTCAGCGCATTCTTATCTTATTCTTAATTCAGTTTTATTCTTACTTGTTTACATATTAATTGTTTGATATCTCTCGGATCTGTGCTCAGACTTGATCACCCGTGGTTCTAGAATCGAGGGGTATCACAGTTTATCACTCTATTTTTGTGATACCCCCCGGATTTTCGAATGCGGGTTGGCCAAGCCCACGCCCGAATACCCGAGGATATCAAAACAAATTGATAATAAACGAACACAGAGTACAAAAGAATAAAGAAGAATAAATAAAATGCTGACAAGAAACTAAAAGGATAATCTAATAATAAACCTCAGAATATATTTCCATTAATTAATAAACTCTTTTGATACAACTGATCCTCCAAAATACAACTCGGGAATCCATACTGTGTGGACCCCTAGAAAATCCAAACTGAACAAATGATAGCAATAACTGTCTAAATCAGGAAATTGAATCATAAAGGAACTCCTATGTAACATCGGAAGAATGAAGTAGACTGATCCCTGCTCAGCACGAACAACCTCTACTCTTGACGAACACCTGAAAAATAATGATGGGTCAGGCCCACAAACAAGTTCTACTCTACTACAGTCCAAGCAGAGATCCGATACACGTATACATCCTAGTCAATCCAACAGTAATTAGTAGTCCGTATATATATATATACACACACACTAAAAGAACCTCACTAGACTATAGGGTTGTCTCAACCTGAATAGTAGACAACATGCAAAACGCACATATAGTGGGCATGAATACCTAGACCTACCAGGGTACACAACTACACTATATCTAGCTACACATCCC